TTGGATCTTCAGGCTTCAGCTGGTTGTGGCTGGGTGGAGACTTGCACATGGACTCGCTTTTATGCCCTTGAATTGTGCTTTGAATTCTCCCCAGGTTGAGTAGCTCCACGGAGCAAAGCACTTCGTCCCGGCTCATCCGGAAGCACAAGCGCCGAAGGAGAAAACAAAGGATGCGACAGATCGACAGGGTAAGGATGGTGCTTTAGCGCAGGTGGAGTGAGTTGCGTTTCTGACGAGTGTGTGCTGGAAAGAGGTTCTAGGACTGAAGTTAGGAGAAAAATTCCTGTCTCCTCCTGTGGCAGAGGTGGGCAACCTGCGGGAACCCCTGCCTTCCCCCCCTCCTCCATGCACCTCTCGTGCATTGGGACACAGGAGTCCTGCACTTCCTACTCCTCCCCCATCCGCCCAGCACCTTCAGAGCACCACGAATCCACTGAGTCTTGCTCCTCCTCCTTCCTCCCAGGGCTGGACGGTTGCAAATCAGCTGTTTGTGACTGTTCACGCTCAGAGAGGGAGGGAAGGAGCGGGAATGGGAGCGCGAATCAATAGATTCATGGTGCTCTGAACATGCTAGGAGGGAGGAGCAGGGAGGTAGAGGACTCCAATGCCCCAGTGTGTGAGAGAGAGAGGGAGGGAGGCAGAGAGATGTGCAGGCCGTGTACAGCCCACTGAGATGGAGGAGGACCATTCATGCGGCCCACTCACTAATCTTGGCTGCCCATGGCTAGGGGCTTTGGGCCACATCCCTGACTTAGGAATCTTGAAGTATTATCATGGCTTGTTGATTTTCTTAAGAGCTCAGCTTTGGATGCTGAGTGACCCTGCCTCTTACCCCCTTGTCTCACTGCCACCTGCTCCCATGAGACCTCCTCAGTCAGCACACTGTCAGAATGGCCAGGGGACTGCCGTATTGGGTCTCCGATCAACCGGCCTCAGCCTCTGCTCTCATTCAAGTCAATAAGGGACGATGCTCAACCCTTAGGAAAGACTCGGCGACGTGCAAAGGAGAGTGTCTCGCTCCACTCTGTGACCAGTGCCACAGCCACAGAACCAGAGCGACTCCGCTGATGGGTTAGAATTTCACCAGGCCCTTGTTTGCATCTCATTAAAATATCTATCTATCTATCTGTCTATCTATCTATCTATCTATCTATCTATCTATCTATCTATCTATCTATCTATCTATCTATCTATCTATCTATCTATCACTAAGGCCTTTTAAACAGACGAGGTTAATATCTTACTGCTAGAGCCGAGCTAACCAAAGTTCTGTCCTCAGACATGGCTTCTGAGCCTTGAATTGCATTTCAATTCAACCAAGCGTGCACCATTTTCTGCTTGCTTTCCTGCGAACTTCGGTGGCATCACGTTTTGTTCCCCCGGGGGTAGGGGAAGGAGCTTTCGTCCGCGTGAATGCCAGGACTGGCGTGCAAATGTGTATCTTCACAAGAGGAGTGCTTTCTTTAGGCCATCTGGTCAGAAACCGTAGCGCATGACTTAGCCTGCACTGCTCAAATAGAGAATCCCTGATACTGAGCATTGCAAAGAACACTTTCCAATCAACTCATTGGGTGCAGGTCCACTGACAAAGGGGGCAGTTGCCCCAAGGCCCAGAGATTCAAAAGTGCCCAGGGTTCCTTGCCACTGATACTGTGGCAGCAGTGATGGCCAGAGCCTGGGCCCTTTAAATTGCCTCTGGAGTGCCATGCGGCGTGCTCCAGGTAGCTCTGAGGACTGGCAGGAGGGGTGGCGGGGCAGCGTGCCTCATTGGGTGCAGGTCCACTGACAAAGGGGGCAGTTGCCCCAAGGCCCAGAGATTCAAAAGTGCCCAGGGTTCCTTGCCACTGATACTGTGGCAGCAGTGATGGCCAGAGCCTGGGCCCTTTAAATTGCCTCTGGAGTGCCATGCGGCGTGCTCCAGGTAGCTCTGAGGACTGGCAGGAGGGGTGGCGGGGCAGCGTGCCC